TTTAAGAGATTCTGATATACATAAAGAGTGAGTAAAAAAAAACTGATTATAATTTGAAAATTGCATTCTTTGCAGTTACATTTTTTGTGTTTATTTTATGATAAGATTTAGGGTTCAGGGTAGGTTTAGGGATAGAAATAGGGTTCAGGTTAGGTTTAGAGATCCATTTAGGGAGTTCAGGGTTAGGTAGGTTTAGGGTCAATACCCCAGTTAGGTTTAGGGTCAATACCCCGGTTAGGGTCAATACCCTGGGTAGGTTTAGGGTCATTACCCTGGGTAGGTTTAGGGTCAATACCCTGGGTAGGTTTAGGGTCAATACTCCAGTTAGGTTTAGGGTCAATACTCAAGTTAGGTTTAGGGTCAATACTCAAGTTAGGTTTAGGGTCAATACCCCGGTTAGGTTTAGTGATAGGTTTAGGGTTCAAGTTAGGTTTAGGGTTCAGGTTAGGGATGGTGGCCAATTATCATGAAAAATTATGTTACATGTATCTGCCGATTTCATTTCTTTTCATTTCTTGCTTTTTTAGTGTGCTATTATTATACTTTTTTTTTTTACTCATTTCTTGCATTTTTTCGCTTCTTTTACAAAAAATTCAAATTTCCTTACATTTTACATTTTTATTTAAATAATTTTCAAAAAGTTATATTAATTTTATTGGTTTTTTTCCATATAATTAAATATTCTGCTAAAATTGCTTATTTTTCAGTGTTCCGTTAATTAGATGAAATAACGCATTCTCTCCCATCCTCTCCCTTTATTATCACACATGGGTTTGCACTAATTCCCACCCCCTGCTGCAATCTTTTTTGCCTTGACTCGTGATCTTCTTTCACTGGCTCAGGCAAAAAGATGGCTGCCTTGGGAAAAAACATGGCACCAATTGCCTGCATTAACAGAATTTTGTCTTATCAATAAAACAATAACCGTTTCAAACTGGAACATGATATTTTCACAAGCGAGTTATAGATTACCTTCGTGTCCTTCTGTAATTTAAGTAGTTAGTTAAAACAGCACATCAAAACCATTTTCAGCTAAAGGAAGATACTGATAGGATGCCACAACGTCTTTTATTTTGCTTGTTTATTAAAGTTGCTGTGAATTAGGGTTCAGGTTAGGTTTAGGGATACATATCATTTAGGGTTCACGTTAGGTTTAGAGATAAATTTTAGGGTTCATGTTAGGTTAAGGGATACATTTACTTAGATTTAGTGACAGAATTAACTAGTCTTGTCAACCAAGATGGCGGCCATGTAGAAAATCATGGCATCCTATCTTCCAATTTACCTCATTTTCTCTTTCCCCTCCCCATTTTAGCAAGGTGTGTTTGCACTACGACAACTGCAACCAAGATGGCAACGGGTAAATAATTGGCTTGGATTGAGTAGATTTACCAATAAAATAATTAAATTGGACGGACTTTGTAACAACAGTAACCGTTCAAGTGTAGTATAGTGTCGGCTGTTGTAAAAAGTGTAGGCTTTAGGTCTTGGCACTCTTGGTAGTGGTAGCCTCTAATTCTATAACTCAGTCAACTGACAACAGTTAACTTAAGTTAACTAGTAACAGAAAATAAACCAAATAGGTCAGCTTTTGAAACGTTAATAATGAATCCTTTTTATCCAAACCCAGGATGGTACCAATAAAAAACATTAAATATGTATAGAAATTTTTGCAATTCTTTACCTTCCTGATGAATAATTAGAAAATTAAAGACAAACTTCAAGAATCTTTAATCGTTATTCAATCTTTATTGTTGGAGTCGTTGGGTAGAATGTAAGGTAGCCAGGTAATTTTGATTGATTTAAGTCTAAAACGGTAAAATCCTTTCACTTCCCAAAATACAAAAACTTGCTACAATATTGATATGATAATTATTATTTTTTTTTTAAATTAAATTATTTTAGAATTCTTAGCTAAAAAAATGTTGAGGCTGAAATATGTTGTTAATTGTAAATCTAAAATACAAGCCAAAATGGCATTCTGGAAAACAAAAATCGTGCTGCCATCTCGAGGATTCAACCGTTTCCTTTTTGACATAATCAGCGAATGCATCACAATCGATGACGACATTATTACCCAATTATTAAATAAAATTATACATTTTAATTCATGTCTTATGGTCATAAGCAATTCAACAAATTGATTCAAAAAAGATTTTCGTTTTATTTTAATCAATTTTTTTTTTTAAAGAAATTTATTGAATAATGGTTTTTTAAATAAGCTTTATCATTATCGAAGTCCATCCTTTTTATATAAAATAAATTTAAAAATAATAATATATATTAAATGTGCGATTATGTCACGAATGAAAATACTCTTTACTCAGTGGCGTAGCTTGGATTTGTGCTGCCCGGGGCGGGTCAAGCTTTTTGCCCCCCCCCCTCCTTTTCGTGGAAAAATCTAATCTACAGTTAGCCGAAAATGCCTTCCTTCCATCTATGGAAAAAGTGCCGCCCGGGTCCGACCACCCCCCCCCCTTCCGCACCCCCTTCCAACGCCACTGTCTCTAAGTGAATGGAGAAATGTTTATTCGTGATACAGCCATCCGGGCCGTGGGCCCCTGCCATATATCTCCATCTTCCTCCCAGTAAGGGTTGTTATATTATAGACAATGTCTTGGTATATTTTTTTGAAATTCAAGACATGGTTATTTTTAGCCAATACCACTTGTCTCCCTTAGTGTGTCCTTGATATTGACGTCACCTGGTAAACGTGATGTGTCATCCCTTACCCACCCCTTCCTAGGTTGGGAAAAGGTTGTTTACGTTGGAATGTGTTACGCCACCAGGTGACGTAATTTCTAGAATTTCTTTACTAGAAGGTTATGATTTAATCCCTATGTATAGTGTTATGTGGACGACGTGTTTATGTCATCTTTCCCCGTGAATGAACTCTAGCTGACCCAAAGTTTGGCACCGCATTTAGGATGTGGCTAACTAAATTGTCTAAATATAGTCTCTCTTGACCTTGGTTACAACTAATAAAAATCTATGGTCTGTATTATTTTTAGAATTCTTTAGAATTGTGTAAAAAAATATATCGAGAAAGGAATACAAGGTGTAAGCCCTTTCGAGTGATATCTATGAAACCGGCTATATATACGCCTAGAGAGATTGAGCGAGAGGAAGGAAACAAGAGATATTTGGAGCCATTGCTATTAGGATAGAGTTTTGTTTACTGTGTGTGTGTGTAGATTCCTTTTCATCATTGTACCTTTTTACAACATTGTATCTTCTTCAACATTGTACCGGTACAAGCCAATCATTATACTGTAGGTCAATAGCTTTAGTTTTATTTTTGATTTTGTAATTTATAATTAACATAATCAAATTTATTAATTGTAATTAGCTCTGGTTTGGCCCTTGAGTATCGTTTTCTTTGTTTTAGTATTTAACATATGGTATCGTCTTTTGATGTGTACTTTTTTAGAACGAGCCATTTAATTAAATGAGAGCTTAGCCGGGAGACAGGCGCGAGAGACTGTGAGAGATACTTGCTACATCTTAACATATACGAGACGTTATACAATTGTATGGGATAAATTAATAATTGCATATTTCATGAGTGTAAATTTTCCTTGATGTGCTGTGCTGTAAGTTGATATAGTTTTTTTTTATGTTTCTGTATTTGAATATTTAAATTGAATATCGTTAGTATCACTAGCTTTGGTATCGTTTTCTTTGCGTATTTTTCTCAGTCCTTTGTTACGTTTTTTTCATTCTACGGGCCTAATGGCCTAATCTTAAACAAAGATAAATCTCCAAACCCATAGCGGTACGTAACAAGGATCCTAATTGATTTATTATTATTCGGCCTATATTATTTAGTACAAACACAGACTTTCGAGATCCAATTCATTGAACCTTGAATTTTTTTGACTTCGGACCACGACCACACCACACTTTTCTTTTATTATCATTCATGTTCCACCCACATTATTTATTGGGTTATTTTATGACAGAGGTTCCAAACTTTTTTCCAATCACGACGTCCTTGCTGCAACCAGGTTTTTCCAAAGGTTCCAAGAATGAAATTCTAAGTGCACCTGGAATTAGCAACTTTTTCATGAATTATTTTCCACTTTGCAAGGCATAATTTGGGAATCTCTTTTTTATGATACTCTGGAATAATGACAGCACAGTATTATATTGTCACTCTGAAGGCGGAAAATTTCTAACTTTGGTACACTATTTTTTTTTTCAATGAACACCGCCTGTAAGTTTACTTGTTCTATTTTATTTAATAATTTAGCCTACATTTATAAACTGTCCCTTGCAATATGCATTCAGTGACCTAGATATAGTTAGATCTAGAGTCTAGACCAGGGGTCGGGAACATATGGCTCGCGAGCCAGATATGTCTCTATTGATGGCTG